TTATTAGTTAAAGCATTGATATTTTGTCTCAATTTGCTAAACATTGTGAATAAAATAGCATTGAACATGGTCAAGCAAAGATTTTTCCTTCTGATTCTAATATCAAGCATATTTGTGTCAAAATGTCATCTGAACCCCCCCTTTTCCTGTCAGATTGTCCTACCCTATGAAATGAGAAAGCATAAAACACAAAATTCAAATGATAACATTATTTTGATTTTTATTATTTCTATAATATAAAGAAAAGAAGGTAGGGTGAAAAAAATCCAGAAATACACTTTTCTCTCTTGCATTTACTCAAATGCAAAAGCACATTTAATTCACTCTATTTTCAGTTTAAAGACTGCATTCTATTTTGTGTGTGTTTTACATGATATCATAAGAAGATATATATATTAATATTTATTTGTTTCATACTTGATTACTGTAGTTCCATATGTCAATCCCAATTTCTTTGCCCTCTAATTCATCCAATGCCCAACCCCCAAACTATCAGTGATACCTAATACATATATGCATGCTCTCTCTCTCTCTCTCTCTCTCTCTCTCTCTCTCTCTCTCTCTCTCTCTCTCACACACACACACACACACACACACAAACACACACATACACACACACACCTTAGAGTTGATGATATGCATATGTGTTTAGAGTTGCCCACTTGGGATTGGATTCCTGTCATGAGGCACATCCCTATTGAATACTTAATCACCCTTTATTAGAAGACAATATGTGCCTATAGTTCTTTATCTGTGAGTGAGTCCTTTTGAGATTCTCTCATTTTATTCTGGCATGATGTTTCAATTGTGCACATCTTGTACAGAGTATTTGTTAAGACTTGATGGGCTAAAATCCATAATATATATTAAAATATTTCTCATAACAAAGGTTTTGGTTATATAGCCTTAAATTTATATCTTTTACTGATGTATTGTTCTCGTAGTAGTGGTATGGGAATTTTGTAAATTATGTGTGAGAATGAGATGGGCATCAGTAAGTTTATTATTCTTTGTACCTTAGGATGCTTCGACTGAATTAAATTTTTCATTGATTAGAAATTAGATCTACATTTACCTATGATAATATTAATTAGTGTAGTTTGGAAATGTACTGCTTTAAGGACATCTCAGTAATAAGTTATTTTCTCTGATCCACATCCTCCCTTTCCATAAATAATTTCCTATGTTTTATTAAACCTGACATAGCTTCTATTCTACTGTATAGGCCTATGTCCCATTAGATAGTTGTTTGCATACTAAGGTCATAAGTATCACTATTGAATTATTGATTATATGTTGACATAACGGCCACTGTGCTTGACAGCCTTTATAAGTGGGTAGTAATATCGATTACTTTTTTCCTTTAGTATCTTGTAAAACATCTTTGGATGTTATGAGAGAGAATATTCAAATAGCAGAATTCCAGGATTGTAGCTGGAGAGTTTTGCCCTGGGTCCCGCCAAACCCCCACAGTCTCCCAGCCCACTTATAAAATAAACACACAGGCACTTATATTATTTAAACTGTTTGGCCTAATGGCTCAGGCTTCTAGCTAACTGTATATCTCATATCTTAAATGGACCCATTTCTATTAATCTATATGTTGCCACATGGCTCGTGGCTTACCGATATCTTAACATCTTCTCATGGCAGTTGCTGGCAGCATTTCTCTGCTTCAGCCTTCTACTTCCCAGACCTCTCCTCTCTCTTTGTCCTGCCTATAATTCCTGCCTGTCTACTGGGCAATCAGCATTTTATTTGTCAATCAATCATCCACAGCGCAGGATTTTCACTTCAAATTTTCTAAGTTCTAAGCCCAAAGTAGTTGGTATATTTATAAATAAAATACTGCCTTCAAGATCTCACAGTCAATAAAAAATGGGAGTAAGTTATATTGTTTTTTGAGTTTCCTACAATCCTCTCATTAGCAAGATTCAAAAGTGATTTTACTTATCTTGCAATGAAGTTTATTTGATTAGTTTATTACTCAGGAGAGCATTATCACCACAAGTTACATAACTTCTTCTGTATTATTACACATGTATAGACATATATGTTATATGTGTGATTAAGTAGAAATAAAATATTATTTAACTGTGGTGTTTTCAATCATTCTCTATGCACTTTGTTTCCACTGCCTTCTTTACCCTCAATTTTGTCTTTTATCTTACTTCCCCATAAAAGAATTTCTTCTCAAATTTCCCATTTTCTTCTTGGACATATATTCTTCTAATCCCCCTGTTTAGAAAAATTTCCCAAGCCCATAATCCATTTAACTATCCTGTTTCCTCTGGTTAGTTCAGGGTAGATTCTTACATCTACAATTCAAAAATGTAGATGTACAGAAAGCGACATCATGATGCATTTTTTTCCTTTGGATGCAGATTACCTCACAGGTAGCCCAGAGAGGTTATGATATTGAGTCAATTCAATACCACAGTGCCTACTTTCAGACAAGATAGGTATAACCACTATTTTCTTTTAACTTAAATACTAGTTTAATTTCTACCTTATCTTCTTCTTATGGAAACCATCTGGGAGAGGCATTACACAACAATTCTCATCAATCCAACAACTATCCAAAGGCCTGAAAACAAATCCATAGTACATAAGTATTCCAGAACTTAGAAGATTTTTCTCCAGAGATTAAAGAAGCTATCTAACTCATTAGTTCTGACAGTTTCTTGGACTGGTTCACCCAAAGGATTTAGAGACTGTCCCCGTTATTTGCACTGCCTGCATCCCAGAACGTCTGTATTGGTGAAACCCCTAAAAACTTTTATTCCCACATGTATACAATGTATTATTCCATGGCATATCTGAGGAAAAAATCTCTATGGGAATTGAATTCATTCTTCTCTTTCTAGTATTAATGAAACAAAAGTCTTTTATTGACTTACCTAACATAATCATTAATAATGAAGCTGTGGGTGACACTGGAGGAATAACTTCACAACCTAAGTTCTGATTGTGAATGGATTCAATGAAAGGAGCTCTAATAGATCTTCCACAGGACCTGAAAGTGCACCTTATAAGAGTCAATAATTGGATTTTGTTTTGACCACCAGATCCCAAATAATGGCACAGAGACTTTTAATTAATTATGAAAGGTTGGCTTTAGCCTAGGCTTGTTCCCATCTAGCTCTTAAACTTTCAGTTAACCCATTTATATTAATCTACATTCTGCCATGTGGCTCATTACCTCTCCTCAGTACCTTGCATCCAACTTCCTCCATATCTGGCTGGGAAATTCCCTGCCTTGCAGATTCTTCCCAAAATTTCTTGCCGAGACCTCCAACCTATCTTCTCCTGACTAGTTATTGGCATTCACCTCTTTAATTAAACCAATCATAAGGTACCTTAGGCAGGTGAGGAAGGACAGAGACACAATTTTATACAGTTAGAACAAATATTTTGCAACAAAGGTCCATATTCTCTTGGATATATAATAACTAGACTCTGCCCACTCTAATTACAATTTAGTTTTAACAGTTATTGCTGTCTCCCCTGGCATCTTTTGGGGCTGATTTCTGAGAATAATAAATTAAGGACAGATACATGGGCACATAATTAAACAAGGGAAGTAATATCTGGCTCCTGAGAAATGACATTTTTGCAACGCAATATTTTGCAAGGAGAAACTGAGGGAAATCATGGGGCAGACATTGAAACAATATCAATAAGTGAAAGAGAAGTTTTCACAGGGCCTGAGAATTCAATCTCTAGTGTTCAATATTCTGTCTTGACCATCATTTTAATTCTCGTCTATCTTAGGGTATAAATTCAGTGATCCTGTAGATAACTAAGTCTATTTTAAGAGTAGATAGTATCATCTTTAAGTGTCAGACCTAAGTGCATTTTTAAATATACTTCGAGAGAGAATTTCAACCCTAATTACATATACAAGTAATACTGTGTGGACATATGAACATATATAAACACACACTCATATGCTAATTAATCTTAACATTAATGCACTAAAACAACAACTAATGACAACAATATAATGATAAGCCTAGGCAAAAAGTATATTGCATTTGTGGAAGACCACTTCTTTTGTCTTAAAAACAAAATACAGATTAAAGTAAATTTACCATGGATTTCTTATCATAGCATTAGTAACAATACAAGAAATGACTATTTGGACACTGTGATTTTCAAAAAAATCAATGCATGTACTGATTTAGAATTTGACTGTCAACAGCCAAATTGGTCTTAGTGCATAAGTAAAGAACCAGGAGCCTAGACATCAACCATTCTCCGTCAAGGAGCTAGGATGGTAACTGAAAAAAAAACTTGCTGCACATTAGCTGGATAGCAAAGAATCCTGCAGCAGTATTGACTGTTCACTTTTGTCAAATCATCTGTTTATGCTCACTTATCTCTGCTGGATACTACATGAGCTATATCCAAGATCCCTGTTAGCAAAATGTGTAAAGCAATGGAAATCACACCTTATATCACAGCCATCCATGAAGACAGAATCCTTATTTTGACTATGTTATGTCATTGGCTACATTCCCCAGACAACATTTATAACAGAAATGAATACCCGAGGGTCTCGGGCTCACAGATCTATAGTGAAGGAAAGAATAGTGATTATTGTGGCATACATTATGTGTTACTAATTGGCATATGTGGAAGGTAACACATCATGGAAGAAATGCATGGAGGAATGCTGATTTAATGACAGAAGTGGAAACAGTGTTAAAAGAGGTCAAGATTCCACCATACTCTTGCATTTTAATGAAACTTACAAGGACAATAATGATTAGAACTATGTTACTATGATTTTCATTCTCAATAGTAGGTAACATAATCTAACTTCATGAACTACTGTAGTTTGGTGCATGCATTCTTTTACGTCATTAATGTACTTCAATCTGTCACCATTAAGGAACAGACAACTAAGTATTTTTATTATGTAGACTTTATCAAGCATTTATTGTGGCTATTTACACAAAATCACTAATATGCAATATTATATTTTCCATATCTAGGCTAAAGTTCATAGACAAGGAAGAGTTGGGATGAAGTGTTTCAATCTTTAAAAACCATGGTCAAAAAATAGAAATATTAACATGGGAACTTAGGTAAACTACTGATTGTAATACATGAAAATAAATATTTAAACAACAGGTTTTTGACAATGAAGAAAATTAATGATTTGAAATGTGTTCTACATAGGTGGAGGAATTTCATTGCATGTAAAGGAAGAAGAAGAAGATTCTACCATGGAACAAGTGCATGAGATCCTGTAAGAAGTGTATTGTTACATTTATTTCCTCTTGATTAGTCTTATGGGTGTGTTATCATAAGGTATAATCTGAATGCCTTTGTATATCAGTTACTTTACACAAAATTGGGGCAAGGTGGACAGTCAGAAATGAGGCATAAGTAGATCAGAACAAGGGATTAGAATCTGTCAGTGACAAATAGGAGTCAGTGACTAATACATGGTGAGGATTAAGAGAAATTATAATTTTCTTAATGTGATACTATGGACACAGAGGATCCAGTACGAGGTCCCCATTTACTAAGAATGTAGGGTATTTGGTTGACTAATACCTACTAAAACTGTTAGATGTCACTGAGGTAAGCTCGACCCACAGAATTCAGAGAAACATAATGTTAGAGTAATATAGAATGACAATACATATTGAAGCAGAATCCTGTCACCCTGTATTGTCCTACATGGACCTGGGTATAAATTTGATGCACAGGTCAAAAGTATGAGATTGTCACATATGAATAGAAGAGACTACTTTTTGCACCATTTTTGTTAGGGAACACCAAAATTCATCCCTATTCTAAGTACATAAGTAGGGATGGGTAGCACAATAAATAGATATAGGAGAATTTCTTTCAGAAGCCCAAACTGATTTTATATTGATTTTTTATTGTGTGTATGTGACCATTGTTTCTGTGATTATAATGATAGTCTTGGGGAGAAAAAAACCATCAAATTGAAAGGTTGCTGTTTACTAAATGATTAAATTTGAAATGGTACTTCCTTGGCATATGGTTCATTTTTGTAAATGAGAGGCAGGAAAAACCACAATTTCTAAGTCTTCCTAGTGTTAACTCTAGTGTGGGTTTTCAAATAACCCTTTGATGCCTTGGTACTTAATGGTCTTTTAATTTTTTCTTTTTGAGAATATACTATAGGTATTCTCTAGATATTTTAATTTTTTCTGTATTAGTTCCACTTCAAGAAAAAGAGTATGGATCTCACAATCTTGTAGATATTTATAACATTTGTGAAATATTTCTTTGCATTGGTGCATGTCATAATGCCTTATTGGTGTTTGACATAGTGTTTCTGTATTTCCATAAAAAAAACTATATTCCTTGTGTTAATGGTTTCCAGTTCATTCTCATCAGGTTTTACTTATCAAAGGGATCCTTGACAGAGAAGGAGCAAAGGGTTAGAGTGTTGATCATGTGGGAAGCAGAAGAGCAGCTCAACAAAGAAGTAGCATCTTAAGTACTTCATCAGTGAGATACAGACACATGAGAGAAGTCATGGTGTCAGCAAACACGGCAGAGTGCTAGAATAAAGGGGTGGTAGGAGAAGAACAATGAAAGAGTTATGATGATCTGTTTGTAAGCCTCTCCCCCAACCCCAAGTGTGTGTGTGTGTGTGTGTGTGTGTGTGTGTGTGTGTGTGTGTATGTGTGTGTGTGTGCATGCGTGTGTGTGTGTGTGTGTGCGCGTGTGTGTGAAGATGTAGGAGGGCAAATGTGATAGATAAGAGGAGAGGGGTATATAAATAGAGGGAGAGGTAAAGAAAAGGTGATGAGTGGATTAAGGAAGGTGAAGTCATACTGGTTAGTTTTTGTCAGTTTAATGAAGACTAGAACCAACTGGTAAGAAGGTAGCCCAAGTAGCATAATATCTTCATCAGATAATTATCTGGGCTTGTCTGTGGTGAAATTCTTGATTGATTATTGATCTTGGAGGGCCATTCCTATGGAGATGGTTCTGCCCTGGAGATGTGGTCATGAGTCTTATAAGAAAGCAAGCTATGGAAAACTTGCTATGGATTCTGCTTCAGTCCGTGCCTCCAGGTACCTTCCTTGAGATTTAACCTTGAACTCTCTCGATGATGAACTGTATAAGTTGTAAGAAAGTTTCAGTCTACACCCCTCAAATTGTTGTTGGTCAGGGTTTCATCATAGCACCTGACAAATAATCGAGAACATAGAGACATGAAAAAAACAGAAAAATATATTTGTAAGAGCAGAATCCTAAAGCCTTTACTGAGCTGGTTTGGCTCTTCATTTTGTGCATGGGCTTGAATGAAGAAAGAAGGATCCAGGAGTTCACGTTGCAACTAAGAAGATGATGTGAGAAGTATATCACTTCATGGAGGAGTGTCATAAAAGAAATAACTCATATGTTCTATTTCATCATTTCCTAGGGAGATTATCCTGATGCAACAGTTGAATAACTCCAGTAGCTGAATGGACATCTTCAAGGAATTGGCAGGAGGCATAGACCTGGAAACAGTAATGGTTGAATGATCTTTCTTCCTTTTAACTGTGAAACTCATATTCAAATGGATGCTCACTCAACATAAAATACCAATAATTCATCATGTCATTCCAATAGTTTATTATAATATGAAAAAAAATGTTATTGCACCAATCACTATAGGAAACAAATCAATATTTTTTTCTTTAATGAAATATTATTTGAAATGTTTTATCATTCTAGACAAGACTATAGCCAGGCATTCATAGTTTTACATGTAAAATTGGATAAAAAAAGAAAAAATATTTTATTTCACTAATGAAACTGTTTTCACATCAGTAGAGATTATATATTAGCTAGAAAGCCAACACAATGTAACTATACTTAAGTACTCCAACATTATAATTGCTGAAATTCTGTTTGTAAGCCCATTAAAAAGAGACCATCCATATTATAGCATTCATAGGGGCTTTCATAGATTAGAAATGTAATCCTATAAGGAGTGTGATAGAAAATGCTTTAAAATATACTTCACCATTAATAAAGCATCCTATCAGCACAGATGATGTCAGGGTACAGAAAATGATAGATAAACAGACAAGGCAAATTTCCCCAGAGTTGGACCTAAAGAGAAAAATTGTGAATTAAAATTTTAAAGAATTCTGCTATTTTCATTATAAATAACAATCTAACTACAATTATATCTATAAATACAATATATTTTAATGTAATTATATAAAAATACTAAGAAATATATGTGGTTTTGTGGAATGATTTTTCAATAATTAAGAACATTTGTTCCTCTTCCAGATATCCTGAGTTCTAATCTACAGCTAACTGCTGTCTGCATCCCTAGTACTAGTGTATATGTTTCCTCCATAAGGCCTCCATACATACAAGACATAGACATACATGTTGGCAAAGAACTCATGTACATGGAATAAAATTAAATAAATGCTCAAAAAATGAGAAATACAAGTTTCAAGAAAGTTTCATCTCTTATTTTGCTAGTGGTTGTTTTTCATTACACAAGAAGTGAAGATTTGATAATTCATGCAAATGACATAGTTTTGAGATGTTCAGAGTGTAACATAGGTAGAGACACAGGTTAGTTCATTGTAATTTTCAGGTCTCACAATATGTGAGGAAGTGGCCATTACTTCTACTTCCTAAGTCCAATTCTGAATCTATGATGAATCCCTCAAAAATAAAACAAAATTATACATAAATTATTTCAGCTCTCCATTTTAGTTGGTAGAGTAGTTTCTTTGTATACAAACCTGTTGGGTAATTGTTACCTCTGAGTTGAAGAGAGGAAGGTTGTTCATAGAACTGAGGAACATAAGCACCGTGCTTACACATGGTTCTGTATGTAACATCATTAAACCCGTTGGATTTTACAGGACCTTTTTAATATTTGGCTTGTCATCCATGTTCTATCTTGTTGAAACTGACCTTTTCTTTGTCATTCCAGGAAAAGACACACAGAAAGAAATTACACCTGGACCTACTTGAAGAATGTTTCCTTGCTAGTTTTCAATGAAGTCAAATTGCATTTCATTTATTTTTAGGTGTGCTAAGCTCTTCCTTGTGCTTTATGTGTTGGCCAGGTAGGACTTGAACTCATACACTCATGTGATGCTTCTGACTCAGACCCTAGTGACCTGTGAAGATAGGAGCTTGTGACCACATATGACCAGGTTTGGCATATATTCTTTACTATTGAGTTATCTTTTGGAACTTTATTTGTACCAAAATACACCTGAGTATTTATTTGCAATTATGAGTTGCAGAAGTGGCATAATCTTTTTTATATTTTTAAAGGAGTTTTGTGGCATATATATATATATATATATATATATATATATATATATATACAGGTTATGTCATTTTCACAAAGGTGTAATTATGATTTTATCATTTTTTTCAAGGGGCTACACTAAATACAGGATTCCTTATGTTATTTCTTCATGTAATATACCTGACAGTTTCTTGGAACAAAGTTGAATAAAAATGTGGAGAGGATGCACATCATTTTTTAAAAATATGTTCTTTATTTATAGTATAGCATATAAACACTTATTTTAATCTTGAAAGAATGTGGCTCTTGTACCCACTGACGAATTGTTTGATTTTGTTTCTCTTTTGTTAGCTTTCATTCAACAGTATATTTTAAGAAGTTTTTTTCTTTGTATTCCTTTATGAATTTTTCATTTAATTTTATGTGTGTGAGTGCTTTGCTTTTATGAATGTGTTTCAATAACTGCCTGTCTTGTACTTTTAATGGCCAGAAAGTGTTGTAGAACTTCCTGCCTGGAGTTACAGACATTTGTGAGGTGCTGTGTCGGTGCTGGGAATCAAACTAGTGAATTCTGGAAGACCAGGCAGTATTTCTAAGTGTTGAGCCATATATCCTGCCACTTCCCCTTATTCTTACATCATATTTGTCTGCAGTTTTCTGCAATTGTTTAAACTATGCTTTCTTTGTTCAGTTCCCAAGGAACTTGTATAGGAAAGTTATTATTTTTCTAAAATTATTTAAAACCTCTCTTCATCATTGAGTTAATCCTCAAAGCTGCCACATACCCTGAAGTTGGACATGGCCAGCTCAGCCTCCATGAGACATAATTCGTGGATCACCTTCTGAATTCCTGGACAGGACCAAGTGAGTGGTGCATGGGTTAAATATTTAAGATCTAGAATTGCTATTCAAGGTATTAATCCTTTAAAATTTGAAGCGCATGATGTCATGAATTTTAGTGAGAGTAAGGGGCACAGGAAGAGTATGATGTGGCAGAGAGAAGGATAGAAATGATGTTAATACAGTAATCATAACTGAAATTCTAGTAAAATAAATGAAATATACCAGAAAGACTTTAGGATGCTGTTAACATATTATTCAATGTACATGATACAGCATCTCACATTAATACTTTCTCTACTCCATTGGTCTCTTAAAAGCATCAAACAAATATTCTTCTCCACTTAGATCCTTTGCATCCTGTAGGGTTATCTTGAGAGTTTGGAGTATATAATCCATATTCCCAAAATGCTAACCTTCTGTAAATTTCAATATGTCTTGACTCTATATTTTTTAAAAATCCTTTTTCTGTTGCCCAGTACTTCAGTTTGTAAGATGATTTGACCTTATATGTAACTGTTTAAGGCTTAGGAGGTGACAGTCTAGAATTTGCATTCAGGGAAGCAGAAAGACTTCTGTTCAGAACACTTGAATCTGCATATAAATAAATAAAAATAAATTACCATGGAATTGTCTATCTACAACTCCACTATAGGATAGCAATTCTATGAAATTTGTTACATATGAACTTAATGATAGACTGTATCATAAAACATAAGTTGGAGATCATATGAGGAAGATATGGGAAATTGACATCTCACAATTACATGCCCAGTCCCATAACTCGAATGCACACATTCATGAACCAATATATACACAGCTACATTCAAACATATGATATGTAATAAGTCTTCTGTTTTGAATCAAGGACCTACTGTAAGGGTTTGTATAGCCTGGCACTTCCTATATAGAGCAGGTTGGCTTTAAATTTGCAGCGATCCACCTGAACTTCTTCTCCATGTGCTAGGGTTAAATTCATGCATAATCATGCCTGGTTTAATTGCTAATTGTTAAGAACTAATTTTTGCTTCATCCATGTGTACTTTAATCATACAACAGTAAAACAATATCTTGATTATAATCACTTTGAAAACAAAGTTTGTTTCAAATTCCGAATCTTCACTCTTAATATCTGTTTTGTATCATGTTAGCTATTTTGGAATCCCTTATGAATATTAGATGAGTTTGACCATAGGACCAAAAGCAAAACATCAAGGCTTTGGAAGGGAATAGTCCTAATACCTAATAGGTTTAAGGATTTTAGGATTCTTCACAATAGTGAGATTCTATTCATTGTATCAGAGTATTTACAATGTTTTTAGGTATTATTAAAGATTTTAAAGTATGTCTGTGACAATTTTAATATTATTTGGAATAATTAATGGTTAATAATTGATTATGGCTAATGAGATTTCATAACGAATATATTTTATATTAAGCACTATCATTATACTCAGTTTCTATCCATCAGTTTTCCACCTGTGTTAAAGCCTCTGGAGTAAAATATTAATTAATCATATTGCTGTAAGTATTGGAACTGAGTTTTTACAGCTAGGAATTCCAAACCAGTCTCTGCTATCGGAATGAAGATAGCACATGGAATTAAACTGTTTTGCCATCTCCATACCTGTGGGATTTACTTAGATGATGAATACAAGAGCAGGATCATCACATGAAATCCAGCTTCCAACGAAACCAATACAACTTAGTAAGAAACATAAATATTAGAAAGCATCATTTTTAGCCAAGCATTGGTGACACATGTCTTTAATCCTAGAATTTGAGCGGCAGAGCCAGGTGAATCTCTGAGTTCATGGCCAGCATGTTCTACACAGTAAGTTCCAGGATGACCAAGTCTACACAGAGAAATCCTGTCTTAAAAACCCCCCAAAATAAATAACCACCACCATAACAAAACATAATCATTTTAAAATGATTAATAAAAATATGATCTCAGGGCTGGAGAGATGGCTCAGCCATTAAAGTCTAAGCTCACAACCAAAAATATGGTCTCAGCATAAGGCAGTATTGTCAAAAACAAGAATATAAAATTAAAAAATATGAATATACAAGTTATTTAAAGAGGTAAGATATGACTAAAATTACATTATCTCAAAGGTTAAGGACTTATTTGTAGTTTTATTATATATATGCAGAAACTATAGGAGAGCCCTTCAAAATCTAATATGTTTTTACATAGACAATGGCATTCCTTAGTTTTTCCATGTGTCTAAGTTTTCTGGGAAGAATGACATTGTTTTCTTTTCATAATCTCTATGCAGTTACTGTTAAGATCAGTTCTTGAATATTTATATGCATATATACTTTGCAATTATTCTAGTATTGTTCCTTTAATGTATGTCATGTACTTCTGATACAAAGTCTCACTGGGTTGCTCACTGTGGTCTCAAACTCATCCCTGAAGCCCTGCTTCCTCTCACCATCATGAGAAGCTCCCAATACGGATGCATGCAACAACACTCTGCTGATGGTATGGTAAAAATCACCTGCTTTCTTAATTTTAATATTTATTTTCATTACTTGTTTATAAAATTTAATTGAAAATTTTATTTTCTCGTTTACTACAGGTTTGATGCATTTATATTTAGATCTAACTGTACCTCTTTGTTTTCTGAACATTAGTTTATGTCTTTTACAAACTTATGAATTATTTTCTTTACATTAAGCATCACATACTTAAGAAACCTAATGTCCAGTTTTCATATTCTCAACTTCCCCAAGAATTCCATTTAGTACAGTGTGTAGCAGTAATCATGATAAAAGTAATTGTTGGATTAACCTTAAAATTGCCGATGTCCCGAGTTACCATGGGACTCTGCATTTGCTCTCACTCTTTCTGTTAATTGAGAGAACTAAGTTTTTCTCCATAGTCCACAAATAGCATAACCATAGGTAGTTAGCTAGGTTTATAGTAATATGCATATATTATTTTCTTGATCATTATATAAGTCTCAATTATTCACTAAAGATATCATAAATATCCAGGTGTGACACAAGCAATTAATATCATAAGAAGAATTAAGATTTTGGAAATGATGACACTTAAGAAGGTTGATAAAAATCATGGAGTTTACCTGGAAGTTTTATAGCACAGTGCCCATGTTTAAATTAATGTACCATGATGGTAAGTAGTTGAAGAAATACTAACCTATATGTTATAGCAAATTTTAGTCCTTGGAGACATACTTTCCCAGAGAAGGCAGAGATAGTAGACATCTGCATCAAAAATTTATTTGATGCATATTTCAGCACTGTTCAATAGACAAACTATCAACAAGTGATATTGCACAAAAATTCTTACACCAGATCAAGCCAGGAAACAAACTAGTATGGCAGGAAGAAGGACTTTTGAATCCCTACCCTGAACTGAGTAGCTATTAGCATCTGATGAGTTGTTGGAGAAAGGAGGGTCAGGAATCTTCAGGTATGCTTCCCTTAATACACTACACTTCCCATATCTACACACACACACAAGTGCCTTAATTGAACTCAGTTTGTATTAAGGTTAGACAACACATATTGTAATATTGTATCTACTAGCATGATAAATTCTAATTTATAACTTCTTGTAGAGTATATCAGTGTATATAATGCATATCAGTGAGGAACTTGACAGAAATGAGGGATAGAATATATGGGAGAGTTCTCTGTGTATCTCTTATTGCAGTACATATGTGAAATTGTCAGTCATGTGAATTTCAAGACACTCAAACAGAAGGGCCAGACAGAAATGGAAGCTTTCTTTTAGAAAGCCATGATAAGAGTCCAAAGTAGTCAGATACACGCTGAATCCCAAGGTACTACTGGCTGATATTGCTTGTTGTCATTTGGAGCCAGAGCTTAGGATATATTGAGTTTTTCTTGTCTTTCTCCTTTCCCTTTCCCTGTATTTGCTGCAATATAAAAGGAGGAAGTTAAGTGAGATGAAAGAGAAACTCTGATAGAGATTACCCAGTTTAATGGTTTTAATTTTCATTCATAGATTTGAGATCTCCCTCATGATTAGATCTAAATCCATTCTTCATTTTCATGTACATACTCAGCCAAACAGAGACAATTAAAGGTAATGTAAATATTTGTAGACAGAACTTTTGCCAGTTAAGCTCTTGGCTGCAGTCCAGTTCCCATATGGTTTTTGGCACTAGCTAGGGCCTCACTACACCTTGCTCCTTAGTGAAGAAAAAAACTACTGCTCAATATGCCTGCAGGAGAAAGAGCCAATTGAAAACAAACACTGGAAGGGACTTGCTAGGATTGCTCACAAACCTGCTCCTGTTTGTGTTCAGGAAATGTGTTCCTACCTCTGGAGACACTGCTTCTGGTTTAAGATTTGTCATCACTGCCACATTACTGGATCCTGCAAGGAAGGGGGTTTATTTTGAGAATGATTATCTGACAGAAACCAAAGAGAGTTCCTTATACTTCCTGGAGGACTCAGTGTGAAAAATTCCAATAGCAGGGACATTTCTCTCCTGGGGCCATGAGATTCATGGTGATCTTCAAGCAGTAACATTTTTAGCATTGTCTTACATATCACCAAAGACATTTTGTAGGCAAAGACAGATTACACAGCAAAATTACTTATTATCATTCTGTTCCCATTAAGGGTCTCATTGCACTTTGGCAATAATAGTTCATGTAGTTTGTTCCCTCTTCCTGGTCTGCCAATTCATTTCTATGAAGTCATGTTATTGTGCAGATTTATCAAGGCAACTCCATGTTGTAAAAAAAAGTTTTATTTTGGGGTAACTTACAGCCAGTAAAAGGGTTGATTACAGGATCTGGGAGAGGTGAGGTGCAGCCCAGTGGGGTTCTCTGGAGAACTCTGCCTCAGTCTGCCATCCAGCATCCAGGATCACTAGGAAGCAAGAGGCCCAGTATGTACAGAACTCCTGTCTTAAGGGCTCCTGTCCTGGCCATGCCCCAGAGGCTGGTCATAGGTAGGCATGGCAGTTACCAGAAGCCTCACTAGGAGTCGTAATTCCAGGTGAAAACTGGAACAGATACCCACTACATCAATTGATGCATGAGCCTTTTAGGAAATCAAGTATTTATTGATAATATCAGATTGTTATTACATATTTCCATTGAAAGAAATTTTCACACCAGATTTCCTTAATACATTTAAATGTTGAATTTCCACTGACTAAATATCTCCTCATTGGTAATCTATCTCCACCAAGCACTCTGGTATGTCATACATATTTATGCATTTATAGTTCTTTGCCTGAGTTGCTACTTACAATCACTAAACATTTTTCATGTGAATATGGTAATATAATATTATGGTCTTTATGTCCTAGATTAATTTAATTCTCTCCAAGTTTCTCTTGTTTTAGAGCATATGAGAGGGAAAGCATTTGGGGTCTTATCAGATGGTCAGCTGAGACAGAGTAGAAACTATTCAAAAAGCACAAGCAGCAATGGAATTATTGTGTCACTTAGAAATATCAGGTGAAGGAATTTGTAGCCCTCCCAGAATGATACATTGATAGGAAAAGTTAGGAAAGTTGAGGGTTGAGTGATACAGAGATAGATAAAGAGCTGGAATTGAGTGAAATAGAGAAAGTATAAAAAAATAAGAAGGAAGAAGGGAGTGGAGGGTGATAAGGTTTATCTATGTGCACTGCATTTCCCAAAGTCTTCTATTTTATACGATCTTTGGAAGGAAAGCATATAATGAAAACATGTAGAAACAATGACTCACATTTTACTAAGTTCCTATTCCTTAACAAACCGCCTGCTTAAAACACTCTGTCGTAAAATGTTAATTGTTCATAGTACTGTCAGTGTTGAAAATTAGATTTCACAGCACAGAATTATAAAGCAAGGCTCTGCTCTCTGAACGAAATTAGTGCATGAACTTAAACTGATTTACTGTTGCAATAACAGAGGGATATACATAGATAATTAAGACCTAAATTTGTTCACTGCCTTCAAACCACATTCTTCTTACATTATGTCTAAAGAGATAAAAATCCCGTGAAAAGAATAATGATATCAGAGGGAAGCATGTGAAAAAAAAAGCAGTGCTGTCTAAAAGTAGAAGAAATTTAACTTAATTGTTGAACATGTAAGTTTCTTAATAGGTCAGATATATTAATCCTCATGATCTCAATGGTTAACTTTAAGATTATTAGGAATTTTATTCTGTTTATGTATAAATTTTAATGGAGAACTTCATAATCTAGAGTATTTTAATATAGATTGTTGTAATCCCACACCATTTCATGAGTTTTATTTTAGCAATCTTAGAAGAGTGGCATTGTTTCTTTATTTGTGAGCAGTTTGTGTTAAGTTTAATTCTGAAATATATATGGGTATTAATTTGTATTTTAGTTAAAAATGTGCATATGTTGCATTTATTCCAGTGCTGTTCTTTAATTGTTGTCCTATACTTCTGAAACAGAGTCTCACTGTGCTCTTCACTGCCATCTCAAACTCACCTCTTGAACCTCACTTCTCCTCAGCATCATGAGAAGTTCCCACCACAGATGTCTACCACCACACTCAGCTGATGGTATTGTAAAACAACCTCTTTTCTGACTTGCATTTTTGAGATATAAGCACTTGTGTAATCAATTCAATTTCAAACTCTATTTTCTTAATTTCTAGAGCTTTGGTAAAATTATGTTTATATTTAAAAGTAATTTAAAGAATGTATGTTTTCTATCCACAGGAGTTATGTACTATACAATATTTTCAAGTTGTTTTCTTTGCCTTAAACATAGGATATTAAGGAAAGTAAAGGACCCAGCATTTACATTCCCTAATGAATTCCCTGAAGATGCTAAATAGGAAGATGTCTATTGCAGGTGGTAACAATAGGAATCTTTGGACTGCTTTTAAATTTGCACATGTTTTTGAGGCATTTAAGATTTGCACATGTGATATTTCCATTTAAAATTATGAAATTTATTTTTTTTGGTATTTTTTCAAACAGTTTTTCTGTGTAACAGCCTTGGCTGTCCTGGAACTTGCTTTTAGAACAGGTTGGCCTCAAACTCACAGAGATCTGCCTGTCTCTGCCTCCCAAGTACTTGGATTAAAGGCATGCACCACTACTACCCAGCGAAATTTAATTTTTGTAAACAATCATTGGATTCTTTCTTGAAATCATAAAGGGGATAGGAATTTTCTAAGAAGTTTCTTCTGTGAGCATTTCATTCCTTATATTAACATAATACTTTACATTACCACTTTATGTATGCTAAAGTAATCCTACATATTTAAGTCACATTTGCTTTGTCACACCATAATTTTTTCTTTGTATCTGATGTTTGTACTTATCAGTATATATAACAATTGCAAAAAGCTTCTAGGTTAAAGATGATATACTTTTTTACTTTCCCTTCTTGGTGTTTTATTTTTATGGTTTGAACCTATGCAGATTTTCTGTGGCTGTCACAGACTCTATGAGATCCTATGTCTGATAGGAAAGTTGAGTCTGGAACACATTGTTTCCTTGGTTTCACCCACCAACTCTTCCTCTGTTACATTCTTTATGCTTCTTTTTCAACATATATCTATGAGGTTTAAGGCGAGAGATTTGAAGAACTTATCCAATTTAGGACCTAGTACTCCAAAATCTCCCTGTCTCTACAGATATATCATCTGAGTATCTCTGTGTTATTTCCCATCTATTATGAGAAGGAGGATCTCTGATGAGGGTCAAGTGATGCACAGACATGTGGGTATGACAATATGTCATTATGGTTCAATTTATTACTATGTGTCTTCAGCAGAATATGAAATAGATTTTTTCATAGGTCTGTAAACTATCTATTCTCAGGTTATTGGGCACTTGAACATTGGGAGGTAAGGCTTCCATCTCATGGAGTAGATAATAATTCAAATCAAAAGTAGTTCATTACTCCCATAATTTTTATCCCACAATGGCAAAAGTATATCTTCAAGACTACTGATTATTGCGTGTTGCAGGATTTTTAGCTCACAATATTGAAAATTGTTTTTTCTTCCTCCAGTAACAAGCAGCTTAACTTTCTCCCCTATCAAATATAGTCAGTAGCATTGAAGCTTCTATTTGGCAAGCAGATGGATTTCTCCTCTCCAATGGCATAAGTAAGTAATATCTTCAGCAATAGGGCCTTTCCATCAGATTGTGAATATTTAACCACAGCTTTGAAATGGTCTGTGATGCTTGAGTGGGGAACTATAGGAATACCCATAGCCAAAAACTCAACCAAATTTAATGACACTTGAGTTATTCCCAATAAAACGTCTTGGATATTTGTGGCAATATCTCTCCAAATACAGTTTGATTCCTTTTCAATTCCCTTCATATGCATATATATCTATATGTATTTGTGTATATGTATATTCATATTATTTTCACATTTCTTTCTCCTGTCTCCTGCACATATCTGCTCCATTAAATATCAAAATGATTACCACTTTTTATTCAACATTTTCTTTATATATATATATATATATATATATATATATATATATATATATATATATATTCATGACTACATATGTCTCTAATTTGTGAAGTGTACATTATGTACTGATAATATATAACTCTGTTTAGGGCTGAATTCTTTGAGCTGAATAAAATATCAATGGTCTTGACACAGAAGAGGACTTATTCTCTCTCTATCTCTCTTAGCATCCCTCATTTGCATGTACCTTTACAACAAAGTATAGGATTTGACTGATTTTCCCATCTGTGTAGGCATGACAACTTGAAGTGTCATTGTGCCCAACTTTTTTCATGCTTTAGAAATTTTCATTGTGGATCTTCCCTGTCAATTTTAGAACACATTTTTGTCACAGCAGATGGCCTATTCCTTATGATCTTATGGTGTGTCTACCCATTGTATTTTCTGAGTCTACATATAATGATTTGTGAGGATTCATTAACTGTATACACAACTGTCAGTTCTTGTTTGCAGTTTCCGCAGTTGTGGACTTGTGTGATGGTGCTGTAACATGTAGAATTTTGCTGATGGTAACACCTAAACTTGTTGGTGGGCATAAGGATAGCTATTTAGAACATGTAAGTTATACAGTTTCATGAAAGTAACAGATAAAGTGTCTCTTTCTGGGTTCATAATCTCACCTGCCATGTGTAGTAGCCTAGAATGACTATATTGGCTACAATTTATTTCCCTGTCAAAGGTATAGCTCTGTGTTACTTACAAAAGATAGAGTGAGAAATTGAGGCTTGGCTTTGAGAACGAAGGCACTAATATGCTAATAAAGGATAAGTTTTGGCAAACTGTATAATTTGATAAAGTTAGTACAATAATGAAGTTTACCTGAACCTATGGTAGTACTGTTAACTCTAGGATTTACATTAATACAACATGGTAGTAATGAGTAGAAACAAAAACAGTATTAATGGCATAGCAGATTATTTCTAAGGCCTTAATATCATAAGAAACTCCTAGTAGAACCTTATGGTAAGGTAGAATGCAGAAAGCTGATTACTTTGATGGAAATCTAGAGTTTAATATGAGGAAAATCTTCTGTTACTAATTCAAGGTGAATACCCCTTATTATTAATACTCTTCTTCCATTCCTACACAAATGAATACAAAATAAATGCACAATGTGTATATTATAAGGTATAATATATAACAGATTTTAGCATTGACCTCTTGGAATTAAAATGCCTATCAGTATTATTGTCCCAGTGAAAGATGGGTTCTTTCTCTCTTAGCATCCACCATTTGTCTGCAGTTTTTCAGCTAAGTGTGGGATGTTGAGATGATTTCCTGGCGTTGTTGTCATGATTTGTGGTATAATTGTGCTAATCATGTTTTTGGTATTAATTATTTTGAAATTTTGTTTTTGTGGCTTGTTTATCCTTATTGAAGATACTTGTCACAATAGATATACAAATCCTTAGTTTCTTATACAGTGTCTCCCCATTGTATAAAATATTTTCTCAGTCAAGACTGATGATGAGTTGTGCATTCATCATTTGTGGCTGGACACAAGACTGTCAATTCTTCATAGCAGTTTTTGTAGTTGTGGAATTTTATAATGGTACAGCAAAATGATTATTATTATTATTATTTATTTTATTTTTTATTTTACAATACTATTCAGTTCTATATAATAGCCACAGATTCCCTTGTTCTCTCCCTTCCTGCCCCCCTCCCCTTTCCCCCCAGCCCACCCCCCATTCCTACCTCCTTCATATCAAGGTCTCCCCCGAGGACTGGGATCGAATTGATAGACTCAGTATAGGCAGGTCCAGTCCCCTCCTCCCAGACTGAGCCAAGCATCCCTGCATAAGTCCCAGGTTTCAAACAGCCAACTCATGCAATGAGCCCAGGACATGGTACCACTGCCTAGATGCCTCCCAAACAGATCAAGCCAATCGACTGTCTCACCTATTCAGAGGGCCTGATCCAGTTGGGGGCCCCTCAGCCTTTGGTTCATAGTTCATGTATTTCCATTCATTTGGTTATTTGTCCCTGTGCTTTATCCAACCTTACTTTCAACAATTCTCACTCATATAAACTCTCCTCTTTCTCACTAATTAGACTCCCAGCGCTCCACCAGGGGCCTAGCTGTGGATGTCTGCATCCAGATTCCTCAGTCCTTGGATGGGGTTTATGGCACAACTATTAGGGTGTTTGGCCATCCCATCACCAGAATAGGTCAGTCCCGGCTCTCTCTCGACCATTGCCAGCAGTCTTTTGTGGGGGTATCTTTGTGGATTTCTGTGGGCCTCTTTAGCTCTTTGTTTCTTCCTTTTCTCATGTGGTCTTCATTTACCATGGTATCCTATTCCTTGTTCTCCCTCTCTTTTCTTGATCCAGCGAGGATCTCCCTCTCTCTTTCCCTTGACCCTCGCCCTTCATTGCTCCCACTCATGTCCAGGCAGTTCATGTAGATCTCATCCATTTCTCCGTGTCTTTCTTGGGGTCCCGTTTTCCAGGTAGCCTCACTGGTGATGTGAGTAGCAGTCCAGTCATCCTTTTTCCACATCTAGCATCTTCCTATGAGTGAGTACATACCATATTTGTCTTTCTGAGTCTGGGTTACCTCACTCAGGATGATTTTTTCTAGATCCATCCATTTGTCTGCAAACCTCATGATGTCATTGTTTTTCTCTGCTGAGTAGTATTCCATTGTGTATATGTGCCACAATTTATTTATCCATTCTTCAGTTGAAGGGCATCTAGGTTGTTTCCAGGTTTTGGCTATTACAAACAATGCTGATATGAACATAGCTGAGCAAGTGTTCTTGTGGTATGATTGAGCATTTCTTGGATATATGCCCAGGAGTGGTATAGCTGGATCTTGGGGGAGATTGATTCCCAATTTTCTAAGAAAGCGCCATATTGATTTCCCAAAATGATTATTTTTATAACAGTTATAGGTGTGCTTTCTGTGGAAATAAAGATAGGTATTTAGAATACAGTTAGACATTATATGCTTCCTGGAAAAAGGCCAATGAAAGTTACCCTTCTGGTTCCACAATAACCTCTGCCATGTGTTGTATTTTATGCTTGCTATATTGTGCATGATTTGTCTTCCTGTCAATGATATAATTCTGCATTATTCAAAAAAAGAGAGAGAGTGAAAAAATATTATACATGTCTTTGGGAACCAAGCCATCAATACCCTACTAAGGGTTGAGTATTGGTACAAAATTAGAAAAAGTTGGTAAAAGCATACAGTTTACCTTGATGATTTACAATCTTGTTAGCCATAGTTTTGATATTAACACACAATGGTGGTTATGAGTAGAAATAATATCAATATTAGTGACTTAGAAAACTGTCATTAAGACCTTTATATTGTAAGAAATTCTGAAAAAGGACATTATTGTAAAGTAAAATGAAGATAGGTGAAAACTTTATTGAACTCTTGAGATTTTATACATTGGAGAGTCCTCAGTGTCGCTATAATTCCATCTATATGTTGATAACAAATAAACGTCAGAGACACATTAGGTCCTATGATTTCAATCCAAGAGTAAGGCACCAAACGTCAAAACTGGAGGAACACAGGGGGTAAAATCACAGAAAGGAAAGTGATAGAAGATTTGGTTCATAGAATGAACATCAGGACTTAGAGTAATATTCATCATGCTGTTTTGCTGTTATGTTTATGATATTCATAGCCAGTAGATGGCTCTCTCAGCAAGCTCACTGTTTGGAAATATGATAATCTGAGATTATTTTATGAAATACAAATACAGAAAACTAGGTGTATTCACTTAAGCATGCAAACCCAGGCTATAAGGAATGGGCATTGACAGTAAGAACTTTGAATTTTATTGGCCAACTTGTGCAACGTGTTTGCCAAATTCCATACCCATGAGAAACACCATGTCAGTCTGCCATTACTAATTTATCTCTGCATTCTGCTAGTATTTGATGGGTATTTAAGCACACTTGTACTCTTGAATTCCCACCAGTTGACTTGGCATGCATAATTCTTTCACTATAAAACCCAGCCAACATTCTACTATATTGTGAGGAAAAATTATGAAGCCAAATGATATCAGAGTGCCTTATATTATTTAATGAACTGATGAAAGGGGAAAGACAGATTTTTCTCAGTAATGCTATCCCTGAGAGGCTACCCATGTGCTTGTACATGGCCCCACATCCACACACACACAGGTGCCATATCTGAACTAAGATGTCACTAAAAATAGAGTAAGTAAATGAAGTAATGATGCAATGGTGATGGCAGTGATTGGAGTGGAATTCTAGAATAGGGAATTTGGTGAATTGTTTTAAAATTTCAATATCCATGTATTAATACTGACTAAAATATTTCAAGAATATGAATTAGAATTTGAACCAAAAATGATTGCCAAATGTGTGCACACATGCATGGGATCACACATAAAATCATATATACAAACATGATATTATTGAGAATATGCATGTGTTATGAATACTTCTTTCTAAAACAAATACCTCAGATTATTTCTTAATCATCATGATACTGGGAATATGAATTGCAAATTGGGTATGTTCAGAGAAGGGCTTATAAGTAAATTTCTATTTTTAATACAAGAATCTAATTTTAGGCACACACACACACATATATATATACATCTATGATATATACGATATATGTATATATATATATGATATATGTACATGTATGTTAAATATTAAATGTAAAATGCAATGCTATAAGTTAAACATTCAATAACTGCTTTTGGGAAATCTCACATGGCATAAGAGAAAAAGTAAACAACAAGCAGCAATTAGCAGCCCAAAAATCACAATCAGCCAGCTTCAGAGAGAAACAGAGGCTTTCCTGTAGATAGCCAGGATAATAGGCCTAAGCAGCCAGATAAACGATTATCTGCTAGTTACCACCATCTGGTTTTATCTATTGATAATCAGAGTGGCAGCCCAGGGTAAATTACATTTTTCCTCTTGTGCACTTTCAATTTTGCTGCTTCAGTGGCAGCACTTATATAGGTGGAAGGGAGAAATGAATCAGTATATCTGATGGAGATCTTCAAGATAACCACAGGATTTACCTCCTTTGCTGGAACTGCGATCACCCTCATTTGTTCCTACTCCATGCTCAAATTGAATGCACACACTCTTTCAATCAGAGGCAAGGAGTGCTAATAAAACTCTCAGTAGTGCAGGTTTTTACCAGTAATGCTCTGGCTATATTCCAGGTCTCACTTGGTCCTGGGTATAACCAAAGCCTAATTGTTCATAGGCCCTGAGAATAAAGACTGCCCCTGACATCTACTGGAGACAGATCCTATTGAAATCAGCAAAGGCAAGGATTTTTTGATTCCCAGCAGTATAGCTCTGAGTCTGCCACTCCTGTCACCTTGTAGTAAGCAGGATCCTGCTTCTGAAGCTACTGCTTCTCCATTAAGATGTGACATCCCTGACTCAGTCTTGCAGTGCTGGATTGCCTGCATAGAAGATAATCCACTTCAAACTTTAGTAGATGGTGCATACTAGGCTAGAACTGCTCTTTTCTCTACCCTGGGAGATCCAACTTGGGAATTTCCACGGCACTCTAGATTTCTTTGTTCTTGATTCTGGTGTGCGTGTGCGTGTGCGTGTGCGTGCGTGCGTGCGTGCGTGCGTGCGTGCGTGTGTGTGTGTGTGTGTGTGTGTTTAATGTTTTTCATCCTGTGCAGATCTTGTGTCTGCTTCCACAGACTCTGAATTCCTATGTCTGATAGTAAAGTTGAGGCTGGAAGAGATTGTCAGTATGGAATCATCAACCACTTCTGAATCACTTAGAATCTTTTTGCTGCCTTTTCAATGCAGATGTATGAGGCTTTGAAGCAGGGATTTTATGAAGATATGAAACATCAGAACATGGTACCCCAAAGCCTCTTAGCACTCTATATAAAGAACCCACCTGCACATCATTGTGTTATTTCTCATCTAGAAATATATAGGGTCAAGTGATATACAAATCTATCAGTATGTCAATATGTAATTAGGACTCACTTTATTTCTGTATTCCTCTAATAGAATGAGAGAATTAGTATCTGCATAGGGCTGTGACATTTTATCTCAGATTCTTGGTCATGTTAGCAGTTCATGGTATTTCTTTCTTCTCGTGGATTTAATCACAATTCCCATAAGTAGCTTGATTACTCCTATTATATTTAGGCCACTGTGCCATCAATATATATGAAGACTGCTAACAATTTTCTCTTTTAGAACCTGTAGCTCTTGAAAGTGAGGAATTTTGTTCCTGTTCCACTATCATGCAGATTAACTTTGGGCCCTATCAACTTTAGTAACTCCCAGTGAAGCTATACACTAGGCACCAGATGGATGTCTGTTTTATGATGACCTAAGTATGTAGGAAATTCAGAAATAGGTTCTCACCATTGTATTGGGAGGTGTAACCATGGTTTGGAAATGGTCTGTGAAGCTTTGGTGGGGAACTATAGGAATGTCTTTGGCCAACAACAATTTAAGTAACTCATTGCTGGCACCCTAGAGAGGTATCTCTGCTATCTCTCTATTACTGCTTATTTTCTTCCATTTATGGTCCTGAGGCATGGTCTCATGCTGCTGCTCATGCTTGTCTCAGACTCAGGCAATGGGCAGATGCATGTTTCATGGTGGCACAGAACCACACCTTACTAGTGACATTGTAGGCAAAGAAACTTTTTGTTCTTATTTTCTATTAATTGTTACTTGTGCATAAAATAAAGTTGAATTTTCAATATATAATAACATATTTTCTGGCTCTGATTTATTAAATCTATATCTTTTGTTCATATCTTATTATTTCTTGTAAATATCAGGATGTCTTTTCCAACCAGAAGTCACTTGTCTTTCTGCCATAGAAAAGTTACATGAGAACAGAAACATCTACTGTTCATTTTCTCCAATAATTTCTGTGTGGAATAAAAAAATGCCTTTTAATTTCTAACCTTGAGGAAAAAATGAACACTTTTAAAATTCTCAGTAATTACTTCCATTTAAGATTCAAAAATCCCACATGTATTCCTGATTTTGTTTGATGAATTTTTAATTTTTTCTTGGATTCTCTATTTTTTATGCAAAGTGATCATTTCATATATTTATGTGTGTTAGTCTTATTTATGCCAATTACCCTGTCTCATCATACTGTTTCTGCTGCTTAATCCATAATTTATCGATCTCATTACTATTTTCTTTTAAACTTGTAACATTTTTTCAGAACTTCATCTGAGAGTACTATATTTACATCACTTCTACATCTCCCTTTCTTCAACTCTTTGTAAGTACTCACCCTTTCAATTTCATAACTTCTTCTTGAATAATATTTGTTATATATGCATGTGTGTAAAAAAACCCAGTTATCATTTTCAATGTTCCTTGATCTTTGCATATCTCTCGCTATAAGAATATGCATTCATAACATTTCAGGAATACATGGGTTTAAGAATATGAAGAACAGTTGCTGTAAGTACCATATAATAAATGCTAATGCTAACAGTAAAAACACTAATAAATGAGTCACTCAGGACCAGGTGCTGAGCATCCTGTCTCTATACAACACTGTGATAAACTGGAAGGTAGGATTTAACCAAACCTGTTTAATGCACCCTTAGTGATTTTTTTTTCTCAGAGTCTTGTGCCGCTTAGAAGCCCAATACAGAAACCATTGCAAACACTACAGTGAGACTGGAGTTGGACCCAGAAGCCACAAACTTATCAATTCACTGCCCTAAATGGAACATGGTGTCTGGTGGAAGCGTGAGCCAAACATTTTTAATGAAAACTTGCTGTTGAGTTTATTCACCCATCTCAGACTGAATCAATTTGTTGTTTGTGTTATCATACTCAGGTGACTAGAAAGAGCCAGAGTTGAAGATAAAGTTAAAGAAACTGTTGATTTTGGTTGTAACATGAGTGCACACCTCAAGAGAATATAGTTCATGTTTCCTGGGTATGAAAAACTTTTCAAGTCATTTTCTTTAGTTGTACATTTCATGGCAAACATTACTACATTTTCTAGAGTAATATAAAGCATTGACACATCTAAATTATTTCTCAGTTACCTCTTTCATAATTAATTCTCTATGTGTTTCTCCATCTCTCTCCTCTTCCTCTCCGTGTCTCTGTCTTTCTCTCCCTCTTCTTTCTTCTCCACCTAACTCTTTTCCTTTCTCATCCTTCCTCCCTTCTATATCTCTGTGTATTCCAGAATACGATGTTATGGAGACAGATACCTCCTTCTAACACATGACTTCAAATGCAGATCTTGTCATCAGTCCTGGTAGAAGGTGCATTTTATTCAGGGCCATTTAATTGTCAAAAATGTGTTTATATTTGAAAAATATATATTAACTGATTATGACAGTTCTAAAGAAGGTTTTTAATATATTTGTGATAGGTTTTCTTTAATTATATACTATATTTTTCTTTGGAGAATGTCAGTAATATATTTGTATTTTATTTTATTTTTCAGATACTAGTATAATTACATTATTTTTCATTCCCATTTCTCCCTCCAAACTATCCTATATAGACCTTCGGACACACATTCTAGTCCATGCCCTCTTTTATATTGTTATTACATGCCTTTTTGTACAAGTATATACAAATATGATTAATATAGTGGATTCAATCTGAAGAAAATAATACAGTCCTTTTGATAACTTCAGCTTTAATGTCAGCTTTTTCTTTTTGGTCAAAAATATCATTATCAACAATGCACAAGTTAAAAATTTCTAATTTGTATAGTTCTTTTAGTATAAAGATTGCATAAGATAATTAGAAACAAATATTTACAGAGATAGAAAAAAACAAAAATCAAGAAAATAATGAAACAACTTTGGACACAATGACTAAATGAATTTACTTTCAGCATTCACTGATTATAATACCTCCACGTATTCAGTATTGGTTTATGTTCACTGAACTTGTGATTGAGTGGGTAGGGAGATGGCGTGGAGTGAATAGGGAAACAGAGCTTCACAGGTTATATGTGTACAGAAAATTCTGTGAGCACAGGTATACCTAGGTCAGAGATCTCAAGAAATGTTGGCAATAGAAATGCCAAAATACAAAGTCATATACATTTGCTGTATATAACACCCATATTTTGTGGTTTACTTCTGCCTGTGATTCTAGGGTCATGGGATCAGACATCCTCCTATGGCCTCTGTGGGTACTGACACACATGTGCACACACATACATTAAAATAACAAATTTTCTAAAATTCACATTCAGCACAAGGAAATGCTGAGTCAGGACAGACATGCTGATTTACATGAACACACAAAAATAACTTAAGGAACGTCACATGATGCTTTATTTTCATGATGAACACATCAGTCTGTTCATTCATTTTTATTCATTATAAAGCTTTGATTGTACTTGTGCTTATTCATACCCACAAACTCCAGGTAAGGCTGAAGGATATGCTGACAGTTAAATGTCTGCACACACAGGAGGTTCAGTGGAAGTGTATCTAGGAAGATGCAAGGGCCTTTCCAGAAGTCCATATCTCCTGTTGGTGTAGAGGGCATTCCAACATCCCATATTGGCACCCATATTAATTTTACAAGGTTAAATTAAGAATATGTGACACATTGGACCTGGTTAATGTTGTTACATAGGGAATGAGTATCCCCATCATATCACACAGTAATTTTACTCACCTTGCACAACTACTCACCTGTAATGCAATTCTAAATATATTCAAGAACATAAGTGTAGCTGCAATGCTAGTCCTTTGCATGTTTCCTTGAGGTAAGTACAATATTTACATTGGTTTAAAGTGAAATGGCAAGTCTAAAGATTTGATATTGTCATTGAATTCACTGCTATCCAATATATGAACACAGTACTTTTATGGTCTGTTTTCCCTTATCATGTCTTAATATTTGAAAGAACAAATAGCATGTCTTACAATCATCCAGTTTTCAGTCTCCATAATTTAGCCCTAAATTCTCTGCTACTGTAGAAACTTTTATACAACACAAGAATGTAGCATAGTATTTCTCCAGTGAATAATTTCCATACTAAGTGCAATGTTCTAGCTCTTTCCCAGTATGCTTGTAAGATTTACATACTTGCCGGGTGTTGGTGGCACACGCCTTTAATCCCAGCACTCGGGAGGCAGAGCCAGACGGATCTCTGTGAGTTTGAGGCCAGCCTGGGCTACCAAGTGAGCTCCAGGAAAGGCACAAAGCTACACAGAGAAACCCTGACTTGAAAAAAAAAATCAACCAAAAAAAAAAGATTTACATACTCTGTCTCAGGTAGTTTACAATTGTATTGTAATAAGAATAATAGTAAAATCTTTTATGTTTCTTGCATAGTGACATAGCTACTTTGGAGAACTATCTATTTTTGGAATTTGTTTGAGTAATTAATACAATTCTCTGATAATTTTACAGTGGTATTTTACATATTCTGGATGATAGATGCTATACATTTGTGTGATTTGAAAATATGTTGCTCCATTTATTTAGCAGTCTTTCTACACATTATTATTTTCATTCTCTTTCTGTTGTTGATGATGTTCTACATACACTCTCAATACAGAAACTCCTGCCAGTGTAAGTGATTGGCATCTTGCTGAGGCTTAAATGCTGAGGCCTTTTCACATCCCTTCTATCTAAGCTATTGAGTTCCTTGACATCATTTTGCTGAGGAGAAATAAACATATTAACCTTGAACTTCACCATCTCTCCCCATTATTTTTAATTTCCATTTTGCTCTTTATGTTTTGAGATGAGTATCACTGTATTCCCATTTACCTATAGTATTGTATATCATGCACATTATATCAGTCTACATGATATAAATCCAAGTCAGTTGGCATCCCTTATTGACCTATGTATTAGTTTTGTGAGATCCAATTCTTTATAGAAAGTCGGTTAATTATGTTAGTTATACTAACAGTGCAAAATTCAGATAGAAACAAATATTACCAGTTACTAGAATACAGTCTTGCACAAGCCAATTTCTTGACTATTTCATACACATACTTTTTATCACATTTTATTTATATGTTTATGGAGAAATAAATTTCCATCCTTTTCTGATGTTTGAGAAGTTTTTTTTTATTGAAATTGTCCTATGTAATTGAGAAACATTATTTTATATGTATGTTTAGGCTAAAATACCTATTTTTATTCCTTAAATATTTCATTTATTAATCAGTGAATTCATGTTGAATGCTCAGGCCTACTAACTGAAATACTCCCAAATGAATGTGGAAATGGAGCTGCTTGATTTCAGCTTGGCCATGAACTATATCTGATTAATATGAAGGATAAAAGTGAATATATGCCTTCTGAGTTTAAAAATATATCAATATTGTAAAGCTGCTATGTACAATGAAGTGATACTAGGGGTGACAATCTTATTTAATACTATGATTATATCCAATCTATAAATAATGGTGACACTAGAGAAAAATTGTTGAAATAGCAGATTTTGTGATTGCACTAGTAGTTTTTGAAGAAAACCTCTAAAATTTCTATGAAGCTTCTTTTTCTTTTTGTCAGGGTCTTATAGATTCTGGAGTCTAGGGAAAGAAAATAGATAGATTGTGCATCATAATAAGATCCACATCTACTGTCCTCACTAAGTATTTTTTTAATATACCTGTTGTCTCACATCTGCTATCATAACAGTCTTCCTTATCTTCTGCCCCACCACCGTAAATCATGTAGACACCATCCAAATTACTCCCTTGAACTTCAAGCTCATATGTATTTATTTATTTACTTATTCAATTTTAAACTCATTGAGTCTGATTAGTGCTCCTCATATGCACACTAGTGTTAGGTCATTCACTGGAACAATGACATTATAAAATCTGTGGTCCCAAGAAAAGGGGACTCTCATTCCCCTGCATGTAACTGGGAATGTTACAAATCATGTAATATGGTCCCCATATACCCTGTCCTTCCTTGCTAAAAACTTTAACATGATTTTGTGCTGTTCTTTTTTCAAGCTTTTGTGGGTGAGTTCACTATGCAATAACAATCTCAAATCCAGTAGACAAAGTTTCTCACCACTTCTACACATTTTCCTACTTACATCCTCCCCATGTTCTGATTATTCTCATTCTCAGTCTCTTCTGCTGACTGACATAAATAATCATATGGTAGAGTTAAGGATATATACAGAGACATAGGTAGACAGTTAAAACACAAATAAGCTTATTAACATGGGTTATCTATAATCCTGAAAAACTTTCCTATTAAAGATGAAGAGAGGACTTACTGGTGAGTGTCTAATAGGGAAAATAGGGGGAAAGAGATCCAGTGACTTTTTGAAACATCTATACCAAAATACATTTAGCAGAATATTTAACTGGGGCTATTCTATCCCTAACTAATACTGGAAAATCTTGTTATTTTTTTCTGAAAATTTCACAGGCAATGAGCTCCTGTTTTATGCAGATAATAGAACTTTTTCTTGCAAGTAACTTTTCCTAGGAACTATCTTTCTGGATTTCAAAAGACCGCTACTAAATTTATATATGTGAATCACAATCATAGAGAAAGACTTGGATGTAGATATGACTATCCTGAATTCTTTAGGGCACCATTCAAGTAAGGAGACCAACACCATATTGGCTAGTAAAGTTCAATGCCACAGTCAATTTCCAACTCAGGAAGAAGTAAAACAAGTAGGGTAATTCTACTTTCAAGGATGTATGATGTTTTGTCTAGCATGTCTGTGTGGCGATATCTCCTGAGTAGTCCAAGGAGGAGCCATATGCCTGGGGATAGAGCCCACAGAAGCAATATTTTCTCTGTGTTGGATAACAGGGAGAAATTTTCTCCTTGATAGACATAGAAATTGCCATTGTGGAGAGTAACTCCTCTGTGTCATCCCGCACACAGAACCTAGAATATGAAATGTTAAGAACTGAGTGTATCCACCAAAGTTTAAGTTGTCAGCCATAAAGAAAATCCTCACATTTTTTCCTTTGTCATTCTCAAATAGTTTTAAAGTTTTCCAATGTTAAAAAAATTATATCAAGTGTTTTCATGATCAAAGTGAGCAGGTCCTTCAATTTAAGAGGAGGTGCCTTGGATGATGTAGGAGTGAAGGTTCTGTCCCTACATAGGAAATATATGTTGGGGCTTGGGAGCCCTGAAGAGATTCGATTATTTGTCAAGAAATCACAGGGCTATGAGAGCTAGTCCCTGAGATCACTGTAAGGAAACCATAATATATACTGCTTCAAAGATTTATGCCAACAGTTCAGATGCACAGTTGTGTTCCTTGTGGCTTCATATGGATGTGATATTTGACCTCAGAAAGAGGGAACTGGTACATCAGAGGCAAGGTGTGTTTGGATGGACTGTCTGGTAGTTTATAGTTATGCAGTTGCAGATGTCTCCTGTTTACATGTACTCCTTCTCCAATGAAGGATTGTTTTTTGGTATTGTATATGCAAAGTATTGTGCTTGCTTTGCCAAAAAACAAAACAAAACAAAAACAAAAAGAACTAGGGTCTGGAATAACCCAATGTGATGTGGGAGTAGGGAAGAAAATGGTAAATAAACACTCTAGGAACTGAGGCTGTGGCTCAGTAGTAGAAAGCTTGGTTGAACACATGAATCTCTGTAGCTGGAATGTTCCTCTGGTCCTGCCCACCCCACAGTCCCTCAGCCACTTATAAAATAATCATTCAGGAGCTTAATATTAATTACCAATTGCATGGTCTATGGCAGGCTTCTCACTAGCAGCTCTTATAACTTAACCCATTTCTATTTGTCTATAAATTGCCACATGGCTTCATGGCTTACTGTTACTTTCACATCTTGCTTCTCCTGGCAGTGTCTCAGTGTCTCCCTGCCTCTCCTTTCCTCTTTCTCTCTCTTCAGTTGGAATGTACTGCCTAACCTTATTCTGTCTCATTGTTGGCCAAACAGCTTTATTTATCAACCAATCAGAGCAATACATATTCACAGCATATAGAAAGACATTCCACAGCAAATCTCTGGTTTCTCTGCAGCAACAGAATAGTCAGTACAAGAGGAAAATACAGTTTCTCTGTCAGAAGAATTCTATATAGATTTCCTGGCCTTGTGACTCCAGTTCTAAGATTGCTAAAACATGGATGCTCATGCGCATTTGTACTTCTCCAATGCCAAGTTCTAGGAAAGCTCTTGCCAGTAATGATGAGAGGAATATAAGGATGAGCCTGCCTGAGTATTGTAATTTGAGGAATTCACTGGGTCTTAATTCTCATTTTCTTTCTAATCACCTGGAATAATCCACCATTACTTAATTTTTATGATATGGAATATATTCTTTCCTTCATGCCTCTTTTTTGGTTTCTGGGCTTTCATGCTCTGAGTTGGGCATTTGCACTTTTGTTTCATTTTCCAGATACTGTGGCATAAGGAGTCTGAGCATCTCAGTATCAGCAGAATCTAAGTAAAGCACAGAATGCACTAGAGAAAAACATGTGTCAAGGAAAAACAAACTCATAGCACAGGCAGTGTTTGAATGGTGGATCTTTAAATTTTGGCTGACATCTTTGATATGGGCCTCTGACACAGTGTGTAAATTGTATAAGATATGAGGAATGCAGGTGTTGGAAGTTTATTTATTTGTTTGTTTAATCTTTAGGTGGACAACAACTGAAAAGGACCCAATAGTAAACAGCACAGCTTGATATTCCATAGCTGGCACACATGAAAAAAGTTATATAGCAGTGAGGAAGTGAGTGACCTAGAAAAAAAAAATTAATTGTGGTTAGGTTTGAGAGAATATTGTAAGAACATACAGTTAAATATGGAAATTGCTAGAAATACAGATGAGTGTTGATGTAACCAACCATCTTATTAAAATAAGAAACACAGAACCAATGTAAAACAGAAAGCCGAGAGGTCAGAGTGCAGAGCTAACATCTTACCTCCTGCAGTGCTCCTAGCTTCCCCGAGAGAGAGCTAATTCCTGCTTGTCTATCTTTAAATAGTCTTTCTGTTCTGCCTTCTCATTGGTTGTAAACCCAACCACATGACTGCCTTGTCACTGCTTGTAAGTACTGCCCTCCAGGTCCTAAAGGTCTATGTCTCCAATGGTTGCTGTATCCCTGAACACACAGAAATCTACCTAGCTCTTCTAACCACCACGCTCTTGCTATGGCTCTAATAGCTCTGACCCCAGGGCAACTTTATTTATTAACATACAATTAAAATCACATTTCAGTACAAATAAAATACTACCATAGATGAGCCTTAACACAGTTAAGGGTTAAAGAAAAAAATCTTTCACACATTGGCATATTTAGCTGTTGGACAGGGTAAAAGAAAGAACCAGCCTGAATATGGTTGAAAGAGAGAAACTTAGCATTATCTCCACACTAATCATCTTGAGACAAATGCTGAAATACTTCAAGTAGTACAATATGAATCAGTTCATGATGGACTATTTCACATCAGCCATTAGACATATATGGGCATCACCAGAAAAGGTGCCCTGGGATGTCACAGATATGGGACAGGGAGGTCTGAGAGGACCAGGTATGAGGAAAGAAATATATGTTGCATGGTTCACTGGGGTTAATAGTATACATTAACTGGAGATTTAAGAAATACCTGGATTCAGCCTAGATCTCTAGACTGGCATGGAGATTTCATAGCTTTTTGAGACATTTTTTTGTGGCAGTATATTTATAGTGTTGGAATTTGGGGGAGAAAGCTAATTGACTAACTATAATGCAAAGATTGTCTTTAAAGTGGAAATGCCATATTGACAAGATAAAAGAAAGGACAAGAAAAGGAAGAGGCGAAACTGAGTTACTGGAAATAAAATGTGGCAAGACTTGCATGGAGTCTTAGTTTCCAAAGGAAAGATATTGAAAGAAAAATCTATTTTGTGCTGATGATATTGAGGCAGGTTTTAAAGAATGTCAAGAAGTTCATAGAAGGCATACATCATAAAGCAGTGTAGATAAAGACAAATTTATACTTGGTGTGGGCAAATATCAATTGATATTTGTTCAATATACTACCCATTCTTAACTTGCACTTCATATTAATAACTACTTTCCTTGTCCCCTAATTCAAAACACCCATGAGACCAAAGGTTAAAGTTTTAAACAAATAGCCCATATAGAGAAAACAGGTAGATCATCCCATCCACAAGGAGAGGCCTAAAGTCATCCTTTGTAGGAAGGGGTTTCTAAAAGGTAGAGAATGTAGTAGTGCTTCAATTGTTCTTCCAGATAGATTCATAGCATAGGGTGTAGGCATTTCCATGATCACCTTCTGTACTAGGATAGCCTTTATTTCTCAGATTTAGAAAAAAACAAACTATATAGAACAGGCTAAAGTTAAGCCGAGGGAAATAAGCCTGATGTGCAAAAGTAGTTAAAGTTACAGGAGAGCAGCAGAATCCAAAACTCTCAGTTCAGTTATTGGTGGGGAAAATAAAAGAATTCAGTTGAAGATATCTAGGTTATGGAATTGGTCTGAATCAGTCAGAATGAAAGTAGATTTTACACCTCCAACCAAGTCAATGCCTCATATTTTTTATTTGTATAAATCATTTATATGGGGAAGAAACAAATGATGCTAGTACATCAGAACTAACCATGTTCTAAAGCACCTGACCTATATTTGATTTACTTTCTCATTAGTTGTGAAAGGTCTAATACTTTCTCATAACAGGTAACAATGGAGTTTCACAATACTGCACCTAGTTTAGCATCCCTGCAGTATATGAGGTGGAACATAAGCCCATTCCTATAGCCTATATATCTTAGAACTCAATAAAAGGTCTGAGCTTCATTTGCACAAGAAACAAAGCTATGCACCTAACTTCCTCCTGTCTCCTAGGCCTACAGGACAGGCAGTGGCTCCGTAAGTGTGTTTACCTTAATTCAGATCAGTGCTTTGTCTGAGAAGCTAATTCTGTCTGCCATTTAGGCCTAGGATGCTTAAGAGGTATTTCATATAAATCCATTGTTAGTATGAGAGCACACATGAAATGCATTTATGTTTCTGTAATATTTTATTTATATGCATATGAAGACAGAAATTTCTGTCCTTGCCCTCTGTATGCCATGTTCTATAATTAAAAACATCCTATGAAATTTGTTGATAAATTTTTTTTCTATGTATGTTTAGTCTAAAATATCCATGTTTATTACTTAAATAATACATTTATCTAACAGCGAATTCATACTGAGTGCTCAGTCCTAGAAACTGAAGAACAACTACATGAATGTGGAAGTGGTCCCTGTCCAGGTGATGCTTAATTTCAGTCCACAGACTTTGCCATGATCTAAATCTGCATAATCAAAACATTAAAATGAGAATATACCATGTGTAGTTGAAAACATACAAATATGGTAAAATTGCTATGCACTATCAAATGATAATAGAAGTGACTATATCTTATTTGGTATCATATTCATATCCAAACTATAAATAATAATGACAGTAGAGGAAAATTGTTAATATTAGGAGATACTGTGATTTCATTAATAGTTGGAAAGAAAGCCCTTTAAAATTTCCATGAAGTTATTATGTGCATTAATCAGGGTCCCCTAGTCTTTAGAGTCTAGTGAAAGAGAATTGATAGAATGTATATCATAATAATATCCACACCTACTGTACTCTCCAAATACTTATTTTTTATACCTGAGTGAAACCTATTGTCTTACATATGCTAGAACATTAGTCTTCCATAAATCTTATCTTATGCCAGTTCACCATAAACCATGAAGACATCATCCAAAACATTCCCTTGAACTTCAAGCTAATATTTATTAATTTTTTAAAGTTAAACATCTCAAATTACTGTTCCTCATATGCACACAAATGTTAGGTCACTCACTGGGAAATTGGCACTTGTGGTCCCAAGAAAGTTATCATTCGTTTCCCTGAAGCTATGCACTGAGAATATTACTAAACATGTAATATTGTCTCATATACCTTCTTCTTCTTTGCTAGAAGTTTAACATGATTTTATGCTGCTCTTATGGTGCTTTTTATGTAAATGAACTGTGAAGTAAGAATGCTAATCCAGAAAACAATATTTATGCTAATCCAGAAGACAATATTTCTCACCATTTCTACACATTGTCCTGCTCTCACATTCCCCCCATGTTCCAACTACTCACATTCACACTTTCTTTCTCTGATTCACATAGGAGACTTGTAGAGACATAGGTAGACAGTGAAAACAAACTTAAGCTCCCTACAATGGGTGATCATTAATTCTGGAAGTCATTTCTAGCAGATACAAAAAGAGGACCCAGTAGCAAATGTCTAACAGGACAATAGAGAGATTATGAGATCCAAGGATCTTTTGAAACATCTATTCAAAGATTATTTAGCAGAATCTTTGATTGGGACCATTCCGTTCCTAACTAATACTGAGAAACCTTGATAATTTGTTTTATTTTTTCAAGTCTCAGTCTTCTGTCCTACACTGAACATGAGCTCATGTTTTATCCAGACGACTGCATTTTTGCATGTAACCTTTCCTGGGTACTGTCATCCAGGATTTCAGAAGACTTCTTGTCAAGTAAATATATGTAAATGAAAATCATGGGAAAAGACTTGGATGTGGAAATGACTGTCATGCATTATTTAGTTCCCCATTTGAGTAAGGAGACCAACACAATATTGTCAAGTAAAATTCAATCCCCAATTCAGTTTCAAACTCCAGCATTGATAAAGCAAGTAGGGGGATTCTGTTTTCCTGCAGCTATAAGGCTTTGTTTATTATGGCTATGTGGTGAATGCTTGCAGAGGGCCATAGGACAAGTAGTATTAATCAGGTCAACCCTAGGTTAGGGAGCCCCACCTGACAAAGTGGTGAAGTTACTGACTGTTAGTGATCAGTTGCTCCTGTCTGTAACTTTGTCATGTTTCCACACTTTACCTCCCCAAAATGAACAGAAGTGGGGTCCTTTAATCAGCCCATTGGTAGTTGGGCACACTTATAGCTGTGGATAATTAGGAAGATGATTTCTGTTTAAGCTGTATAATTCTGAGGAATAGAAAATATACTAGAGTATTTTCTTAGTTGGCACAGGAAAGTAACAGTATTCTTAGTCTCAAAGATAGCTAATTTTAGACTTCAGAAAAAAATTCAAAACAGACTAACTGCCAAGTAGAGAATGCACAAACATAAGTTCCAGGAGATTTTGTTACATCAAGGTCAGAACTGAAGCAACTTTGGTAGATGTAACTCCCTGATGTAATTTTCTTTCTGCATGTACCTCCTAGAGTAATTGACTTTTTTGCATGTAGTCCAAGCCTCAGTTTATGTCACAGGATCTAGGTTCAGCCAACTGTTTATTTTCTGCCTAAGAACTATCACCAACTCAGGCTACGTGCTTGGCCAAGTGTTACTCACCAGCAGGTCAGCACAAACTTCCTAGCCTGAGAGAAACTGTGTGACTTATCATGTGTTATGAGAATGGGTGGTACCCTGAAAATGTAACATATAATTGTCCAGAGTTTGGTTGAGAAAGGAAGAAGGAGGAGGAAAGAGAGAGTATATGAGTGTGTGTGTGTGTGTGTGTGTGTGTGTGTGTGTGTGTGTGTGTGTGTGTGTGGTGAGTCAGGGATGTGCCTGAATGGGCAGAAAGAAAATATTGCATAGGATTGTCCAAAGTTGGGCAGAGAGTAAGATGAGAGAGTGAATGTATGAGAGAATAAATGAGTATTGAGTGAATAAATGATGTAATAATATATGTGAAGAAATGTAACAGAGTAGAAAGGAGAAATGTGTATAGAAGAAAGACATGGAACTATATAAGAAAGAGATATTACTGTGCAAATGATGTATATGGCTGTGTGGGAGGATTTATGGAGAATGTAACAGTGTGGAGACAGAGAAATTATCAGAGAAAGATTTTTCAAGATGTAGTAAAAGAGAAAGTTATATCAGAAAGCATGTGTGTTTATTTTACCCATCATATAGATAAAAATGTATTTCTAAATACCCTCAGAGAGAAAAGTCTAGCCTCTATATAGAAAAGATTTTTTTTCTATTTCCTTGCTACTCTGAGGTCTTTTATTCAGAACCCTGGAAGAGTTCTGAAGCGCCGACCTCCCCCAGGCAGTGTTAATTTCTCCTGAATGATCCAGAGAGGATACATATGTCTGGGAATGGAGAATGCAGAAGATACATTTCATGGGTTGGTAACAGATGGCATATCCCCCCTTGATACACATATGAATTTCCAGTATGGACAATCACTTGTCTTTGTTATTGCACACACAGATCCTGGAACATGAATTGTGAAGAACTCAGTGTAGCCACCAAATTCTAAGCAGTGTGCCCCAGAGAAAACGCTCCAGTTTTTCTCTTATTTTAGCATGAGGTAGTCCTGAAAGTTTCTGATGTACTAAAAATACATTATGCTGTGGTAGCCCAAAAAGGTTTCCTAGTGAGATCTGAGCTTGCTTTAACCAGCAGGGCTGCATAAGGGGATGGATTGACCACGTGCATGTTTACCAGGTATTTGGAAGGGTCTGCACTGAGTTGTGCTAGGGGGAGGTCTTTTGCTCCACCCCTTAGCATTTCTATAAATAGCCCTTTAGAAGAGAGAGAGAAGGGGCTGGTGGATATTGATCTAGGCCTTCCAGAACCATCCTATGTTTCTATCTGTCTCTTTCCCCTTTATCCTTCTAACTAAATATTTCTCACTTCTCCCTCCTCGAGAGTACCCTGGGTCCCTGACAGATAGTGGTGCCACGAATAGGGACCAGGGACTTGGTGAAAGTGGGGAAAGCCCCATGTGAAGCAATTTCACTTAGGAAATAAGGTTCCCCTCAAATCTTGCCACCTTTGATTTCTAGTAACTTAGTTTCACCTCCTCCTTTTCTTGTCTTTTCTGTTATCTCCTCAATGTTTCACTTGACTTTACAGACTTTCTCTGCATTATAGTTAGTCAATTAGATGTCCCAGGGGCTTGCTCCTCCACCCTACCAGGCCTGTGAAAGAAAACAGATGTACCAGTAAGTCATTTCAGCCTTTTCAGAGAGATTTTTTTGGGAACTCAAGCCCTGCCTCCCTCCTTGCTTTATACATTGTGATGGACATTTCTAGGAGGAGGTATATTCCAAGTAGTTGTTGGCTACATAGGTCTTACAGTCTTCTTAACCTATAGAGTGTTGTGTATTTGTTGATTGCATTTCAGGATGGAAGGAAAAGGTGTTATGATGAGGAAGATGATTGATTTTTGTGGGACACTTAGACAATTGAATAAATATAGCTAGAAAAGGACTGAAAAATCTTCTTTCTATGAGCTAGAACTTATAGTCCTAATGAGTACCAATGAGGAATTTGTGAACAATTAAATACCAAAGGCATAATGATCACTGTGGATCTCCCATGTTTAACAATAGAGTTGTCACTCACGATGTGTCACCTAGTACAGTAATGGTTTTACAAGAAGCAAGTTCTTATAGGATTAAATGTATGTTACAGTAGAAAAAAATGAAATGTGGTATGTGTAACTTATAGAAATACTGGTGGCAAGGGAATTTGTGTTCTCCAGTAATGAAGCAATGATGTCACAAAATAAATGTCTGACCAAAATTGCTATAAAAAATGAGCATGTTTAATTTCATAAATATAATGTGATTATTTGAAGTTGACCATCATTTCAAAAACTCTAAAAAGTAGACAAAGAGGGAAGATTTTGATGTACTGACATCAAGTGTGAAATAATTTCCGCTAAGTTTTTCTTTTTAATTACATGTGACTTGGTTTTACTAGTAATAATGCTGAGGGCTAAATGTATTTTCATGTTTAATTGTTTCACTTCTAAGTCTGACTGAGGCACTCAAACTTTCACACATCATAATCATCACAGGATGAATCTTGTCATGGCTAAACCTTCAAACAAAAAGAAAGCAGACATATTGGTTAAATTAAAAAAAGAAATTGCTGGTAAAATCATTAGCTTTACCTTGTTGATTTTTAATCCTGTTAGCTGCAATTTTGCCATCATAAAGAAGGATGATTATAAGTGGTCATAATAGGTCTACATATGGCTTTAGGTATTGTTACTAACATCCGATTAGTGTAAAAAACTGGTAAAAGATCCCCTTTATAATGCAAAAATGGTCCAGCATAATTAACCAAATACTGTGGTTTTATATACCTGAGAATCCATATGATTTTTCTTGTAGGATATGTGTGTGTGGATTACAAAAGAACAGCAGAGACACTGGTATGGGTATACTTTTAAACACACTGTAAACAGTCTAGGTAT